TATTTTTTCCACCCCAATTTTTGGACGTGGATATGTTAACTTAAAAATGCAAAATTATATATATAAATATTGCAATTCTTACAATGGTCATCGTGAGGATAGCATGATCCCTGTTTGCCTGTTGCAGTCATGGCTGGGTTAGAGGGTAAGGGTCTTGTATCAGACTACCCTAACCATATTGTTCCATGTGGACACAGCAACTTGGCCTTGCAAGGCTCCTCACATGAAACGAGCTATTAATCCATTCTTTATCACTCCTAATTATGCTGCTATATTAATTTCTATAAACAAAATCTTTTGCAATTATAGTTTATGCATTTTTTATTGCCTCTTAGTACATTTTAGACTAAATCTGACTCCTTCATGGCAATGTGCATGCCTGCAAAGTGGGTTGCGAAAATGCAAAAATAAGCCTATATTTAACAAAATTATTTTCTCAGTTATAATTAGAGTACTCTCTGGAAACCCCAGAATTTTTTTGTATTTAGATTAGACTGTCCAGTGACATTTTTGTGGTGTAACTTGTCACATTCGCTCGATGACAACATGAAATTTGAATAAAATTGGTTTATTTTTGTGACAAAGAATTTCATGTTTATTTTCCATTACTGTGAAAAACATCTACATAAGATTAAAAAATTGTCACTCGATGTCTTTTGCAATAATATATTTTTTAGTATATGCTCAAATATGATACCTTTTATTTTGACTAGCAAATATTAAATAATTTGTTTTTATAGTAAAGGAGGCCAGTGAAAATTTTAAACTATTTGATAGTTTTTAGATATGTTAAAAATGGCCTTGGATTCCAAAGTGTTGGGGAAAAAATGCAGGAAGTGGGTAGGCAGAACATTTAAAAAGAATAAATAAATAAAAAATGAAAAAAAAAAAGCAAAAAATGTGATGATTTGAGATGGATTAACCCAGCTAAAAGTTTTGCTGTAGGAAATCTGATACTGCTATTCACTAATTTAAACTCTATCCTTTGATCTCACCCAGAACCTGTTGAAATGTAATCCTGTCCAGAGGATCTCTGCAGAAGAGGCCTTACAGCATCCTTACTTTGCTGATTTCTGCCCACCATAAATGCTTAACTGCCTCTCGATGAACGTCAGCTGCCAGAATCAACCATCCCCGCTCTCTTTTGGGACTTCAGGACAAATTCAAAACAAGGCAAATCCCTCACTGGATTTTCAAACACTCCCCCTGCTATTCATTCTGTTGTGCCTCTGTGAGGAACAAAGTCCTAGTGTCGCTGCAAGGATTTATTAGCTTCTTTTAAGTTGAAAGCCTGTTTTTAATTTGGCACATACACACTTTCCAGTTAATTGGTACAAATGTGGGACGACGTTGGACCGCATAAACCTTATACCTGTGAAAGCGGTATATCATAATTAAAAATGGCCCTTAGAATCTGTGGTAATCTCATTTGGTGAATTCACTTTGAATAACTAAAATTTTAGTGCAGTACGGTAGCCCCTAAAAAGCCTTTGTAAATATATTGTTTCTATTATGTTTTTGTTTTCAAAGCAGATTTGAAGTCTTGTCATTTGTAGAGGTTTTGATGCCAGTTCCAATATTTATATCTGAAAGTTTACAATATGTGATGGTATATTGACCACCTGAATCTGGTTATTAAAACATATGGCTGAGACGTGTGTGGACAGACTAATTTAATGGTGGCGTTCTAAATGATCTCATACTCTTATGTGGCATGTCTGTACAGCTGTTTACCTATTAGCCATCATATATACATTTACTGATTTAATATTTTTAACACATTCCAGAGGCCACTAATGCTACAGAGCTTCCGTTTACGATTAGACTGCATTAATAGATTTGTGGGCTTTAGAGTCATGCTATTCATTTGAAAATGATTAAGGCATAAGTCAAAGTTTTTGTAACACAAGCTTTCAAAAAGCTTCCGTGGGGGCTTCCTGAATATTAATATGTCATTTGGTAATAATCAAAGGGAAATGGGAATTCCCCCCCAGTTAAAAGCTAAATTTAATTACCTTAATCACTCTTTTTACTCATTAGGTAATGCTAGCTGTTAATCAGACTTAACTGTAAGTGTATCTGTTGAATAAATGACCCTTTTTTCCTACAGCTAGTACCAAATTAAAAACTGACTGGCAACAATGTAGAAAACAGTGAGACAATTAGAGACCGTTTTGATTACTTGGGCTGTACGCACTTTTGTGTTTTCTGATATTTTACATACCAATGCTAAAACTCATTTTCCAATTACCTATTACAAGATTTTTGGATAGCACGAGAGGCTAACTGATCATTTCTATTTCTCAGGCTTTTATTTTCTCATTTTGTATTTATCTTTTGTGCACTTTGTGATAGTTTTATTTCCGATTGTTTAGTTGTTGTTACCTTAAAATACGTTGAACACTGACAGCCAGGATTATACCAATTAACAGTAAATGGGCTAATATATATGTGTTAATGACTAGTGGACCATTGTTGAACATTTTTATTTGTTTTTTACATTTCTATCACCATGACACTAACACTTTTCTCAAATGCTTTTCTAACAGTTGTTAAAAATGGAAAAACAAACCCAGATAATCTGCTGATAATCTGTATGTTTGCGTAGTAACTGTTTTTGCACCATTAGCTGTTTCCATTTCAGTTAATAACATGGTTAACAGCTCGCAGTATTATTTTGCTTATGATTGTTACAGAGCTTCTAGTCATCCCATAGAAATCATCCATAATGAGCTGTGTTTGAAGTAGCTGTCTTAATAGGAAAGGGGTTCATTTTCTTTTCGCTGATGTAAAACAAAAAAATTGATGCATGTATTTATTAATGATGGAATATCCACTTTTTAATTTTTGTTTTTGATGTAGCACACTTTCATTTAGTACAAAAACTCTTTGAATGATCTGAGTATGCTCCAGTCTATTGTGTTTTGCAGGCTCTTTTTAGGATTTTCAAATGTTTGAAGGTTGTGTGTGCGTGTGGATTAAGTTATAATGAAAAAAACAAAACATGTTTTCACTCATCCACTTGTATTGGCAGAACATTTGCAGAACATTTGACTTTAAACGGCTTAAAATAGAATTTGAACGATGAGTGTATTTTGCACTTTGTCTAGTCTCTGCTTTTGCTGGTAGACTGTGGGACAAATGTTTTATGTATATTTCAGCTGATAAGACTCAGTATTCAGTAAAGTCAACATCAATACAAGTTTGCTTTGATTTAAAACAAATTTCCTGCTTGATTATTCAGTAATTTGGGGGGGAGGGGTCTTAACTTCGCATGTCATTTTGTGCAGTTATTGACAGAGTGATCCTATAGCAGTGCACATCTTAGATGAGAAGACGTTACAATCATCTAGAATGAAAATCACTGGACAGTAGAACTAAATACATGTTATTCAGTGCTGTATACTTCTCATGTTCTTCTGCTGCCACTCTTCTAATATATAGTCCAATAAATTTTGGAGGCAAATATGAAAGGACTCCAGCCTATATCAAAACCACACATTAATAATGCAATAATGCATTATACAATAAAAATAATATTTTTGCATAATCAGTGGCACTTAAGGTAAATTTGGTTATAATGCTGATGTTCGTGAAGGTTGAAATACATTTTGCAGTTTGTTTTCTACATTTTCTTGTAGATTCCATGTGTTGAAACAGGTTTCTTTATGTCTCACCTTGTACATCACTGAGGTTTAAAAAGAGTGCAATTCCACCATCCAGACACACGAATAATTATTTTTACTCTCCAAATAATTGTGATTGATTTCACACACAATGGATAGGAGTATGGGTATAATAATTATACAGTAAGATCCATAATTTGTTGGACAAACATAATTTTTGTAGTTTTGCCTCTTCACATCGTCACAGCAGTGTCTAAATCAATCAATAAAGGCTCTCAGCTTTAATTCAAGTTGCATGAACTGTTTACGAATTACAGCTATTTTTATACACAGTCCCCATTTTTAGAGGGTGAAAATTAATTGGACAGTTGATGGATGAGCTGTTTCTTTGCCAGGTGAGGCCTGTTCACCTGTTATTTAAAGGCAAAGGAAGCAAACATGATATCAGTAGTTAATTTAAAGTTTTGTATCGTAGGTTACTGTAATTGTAAATCTGAAGGTCAAGTGAGGGACATCATCATTAGGCTGAAAAACAAACCTTTCAGAGAGACCAAATCAACAGTTAGCTATGTTCTTAAAACGAATGATAGAATTGGCCAAGAACTTTTACAACAAGGGTACAAACCATTGGTTACACTCAAGAACCAGAAGGCTAGATTAGACTTTGCCAGAAAACATCTAGAGCTTGCACAGTTCCAGAAAACAACCTTTAGTCACCTAAATCCAAGGTTAACTTGAATGTCAGATCTGATCTCAACCCAAGGGAGCATCCTTTTCAGTTATGAAATACAAAGAGAATGCAGAAAGATGCACAAACTGAAGATGGTTACGGTAAATAAATGGCACAGACTAGACTTCAGGCAGTCACCGAATCCAAATGAGTTTCATCTAAGTGCTAAAAACAATCATTAAAATGATGATAGTTACTGATATCCTATGAAAAAACTAGGGTCTAAAAATGGCTGTAATTTCTCAACAGCTAATGTAAAACTTTTGTTGCAGAGAAAGTCTGCACTTCAATCACATATTATAACAGTTAATGGGAAAACTTTCTCTAAAACCCCTTGAATTAAAACTGGAAACTTCCATTGTGTGATTTAAAATGCACTGTGATAGAGTACAGAGGCAAAACGACTACTATCATATTACCACTAGTGGTAAAAAAAACAAACCCTCCTTTGCAGTATTTATTCTCCCTTGTTAACTGTTTAGAATATTCTGTTGTGCTTTAGCTTCACTGTAGACTTTATCAGGTTTATTTAAGCTGGATGTTACCTTTTTTTTGCTGGCACATAACATCCTCTGTAAGTACTGTTTAAAAAGAAAACAAACATCCAATACAGTTTTATTTAAAACTGACTACGTTACACATAGTTAAGTGTGTTAACTATTTAATGTACAGCTTAGAGTTAAAATCACATATCTACAATAAAATGCACAAATAGCATATAGAGCCAGATGAAACAACTTCTTGTTCTCCAGGTGTGTGTGTGTATGTGTGTGTGTCTATGTGTGTATTGGCACAGGAAAATCTTTGTTACCTGTAAGAACCTGTCTTAAAGGCACATTTTAGTTTGATTTCAAGCCACAAAGTTTAATCAAGCCACAAAAAACTATTCTTCTGTGTATTGCACAGTCCCAAGCCTGGTTAGAGGAGGATTCTTACATCATAATGATCCAGGACATTGTAGTGCAGGATGTGGAGAACGCTATTTTGATTCATCTGACTCCAAAGAAAATACACTTTGAACAGTACAAAGTGAATAGCATAGCTAATATTACATTAATAGAGCAGAGATAATAGGAATACACATGCAAGGAGGAAAATGGGCGATGTGCTGTAAATTATTAGGATAAAATCAATCAAATTCAGGTATTTGATGGCATAAATATATAGTGGACTTTTTTTTCTACTTGGCCGTAACTATGCTGTAAATATCCATGAAAGATTAGTTAATGAGAATAAATAGTTAAGGAATATTTTCTGCCAGCTCAGATACACTCTACTGCTTCTTTGACTGGTAGTAAGGCAGGGGTGGGGCGAGAGAGAGGTAAAGCCTTCATATCTCCACAGTTTGCGGTAATGTTGGGTCACTTGTAACCCAGCAGCATCACACACACACTCAAAATCATCATGGCAATACAGCATCAGAGGAGGATCATTGTGTAACATGAATTGGCATCTGCGTCTCTTATTGAGTTCATGATGGTTTATTTGTCATATCATACATCATTGTTGCAGGCGGCAGCTGCTCGGTTTACATCCATCACAACTGTTTCATACATCACAAACTGATAATTTGGATCCTCAATCAATCTTTTTCCGGTCAGTTTGCTAACAGTGCTGTCTGATTCAGTGCATTTATTGCTCGTAACACAATACCACTGACTAACCCTTTTTTTTCTTAGTGTCTGCTTCCTGAAAGGCAAAAGTTCCATTTGGATTAAGTCCTTCCACAAGGTGCTCTCTGGCTCCGCTTAAATTACCAGTCTTGTTCCTGATAACGCCGGAGCTGTGAGCACACCATGCGTAACAGTGTGTAGTTAAATCTAGAGCCACAAAAGGTAGTTACAACGATAGACGCCCAGTCATTGGCTTTCCAGTGATGGCTGATTTCCAAGGGTTTGTGCTTCACATCAACAGTCATCTAATACACAGACAACAGAGTAATAAAGCTACAGAGTTATGAACACCACTCACTTGACTGGCGTTATACATGAAAGTTTCACGAAAAAAAGGTTCCCAGTATTTATAGTACCTACAAATCAAAACCAAAATATTTAAATAACACGCTCTGTGTTATTTAAACGAGAAAGGAAGTAGACTGACACGAAGGTTCGAAGAAAAGTTGTGTACATGAGGAGTAAGATGAGTAAATATAGAGTTTATTATACTTGATCATTTATACATCACAAACTGTTATTTGTGACTTATTACATATTCTGTAATCATAATAATAATAATAATGATAATCGTAATAATAATAGGTTACAATGGTAAAATTTTACAATGCATTTCTAATATAAATCAACTAAATGGGGCTGAGGTGCAGTGAGTTGTAGATGTATTGAGGCAAAGTCTCTTGTACCTAATAAAGTCTGCCTTCCATGTTGTACTCAAAGACACTTGATGGTCCACCTAGATAGAAAGTCCAAATTCCTTGTGGTGTAAGAACGGATGAAGAAAGATTTTTTTTTGTATTTTAAATTTATATATCTATATTTATATGTATATATATGACGTGTTTCACATGAGCAATGTAGAATTTCTTCATGGCATTTGATTGTGGGTATTTACAAATTTCTGTCAAGTTTAGGAATGTCACCAGCAAGCCTTTTAAACTCTACTTACAGCATTTTCAATAGAGAATAGATTACTATCACAGGGGATTGTGCTGATGAATCTTTAAGACATTGTGATGAAAACAACTGAACTATTAGGAAAGGCAAAAGAAATTCCGATTGTTTCTGTTGGAGCGAATTCAATTGAAAACAGGGCCAGCTTTTATGGGGACAATTTCTGCAGCAACTATATAAAAAAATGGAAATATGACTGAAAATGAAATATAACAGTACAATCAACTGCCTTTTTTTGCCTTCTGACTTTTTTGTTTTTTACCCTCACTGTCTTAAAAAAAGCCTAAAGTCAACAAAACCATGTAGTTCAGGAGTCTCAAAACAGCATATATACAAATCATCAAGTTCCTCTCGTGTTTCGAAGGTGGGTAAGCACACATGTCTAATTAAAGACAATTTAAAGCCCCATAGTAGCAAAAGGCAACATTCAACACTAGTCTAGTGTTTTAATTCACGTCAACAATCAGCTCATTAAAAGTGGAGCAGATGTCTAAAAAGGCTCTTCCGTTAAAACGTGACTGCTATAAGGTCACTCAATACAGCATTGGTTCGATGCTGGAGGCATAACACTGATAAACGCTGCTACACATACAAATCCACATGCGTTTGTTTTAACTAGACTGATTGATGTACATCAATACTAGCACAGCAGTACCACGTGACTCATTGCAACACAGTTCAGATTCCTCTTTTTGAACACGTTTATCCTCACGTATTGTATACTCGATAACATAAACAAATCTACTGAATGAAACATGAGTAAATTAACATGGATGCCTTGACATGGCAGTTAAACCTGAGTTGTGTTTTGGAAGTGGTCTCTTTTGTTTCTGATGATAGTATTCTATTTCTATTCAGGCATTGATAAACTGTACTACGCATTTTGTGAGCATACACTCAAGAGCCTTTCTCTGTTAAAATGATTTCACAGTTTGCTGTCAAGTACCCAGATGTTCCACCCCGTCCCCAACCCCTGCTTTATGTTGTCAACAAGCAAACTCCTCAAAGTTGCCTATAGTCGGGTGACGAGGTAACATGTTCGGCGTGAATCCGAGACTGTCCGAGTGACTCCGGAGGGTGTCACAGGTGCTCTGCAAGAAACAGAGAGGAGGGGAGGAGGGGAGACGAGTTCAACCGGGTTAAGGGAGGAGCGATGCAGGGAGCGATGATGATGCAGATGATGGAGGAAATAAATGAGCCGCAGGTAAAAAGAGAGCAGCCAATACAATCGTAGAGGGATGCAGAGGGGAGAAAAAACAAACAATGGAACAAGGAGAAATTGATCAAAAACAGGAAAAAATGTGGGAATGATTGTAAATGAAAGGATAATGAATGACAGAAACATATGTGCACAATGATGAGGCAAAGAGTACAACAGATTTAGGGGTTTCGACATCAGCCACATTGCATATGTTTCATATGTAATGAGAAGATAAATTGAGGGGGTGAGATGATGGGGTAAGATGAATGAAAGGAGGGAAAAGAGAAAGAAAACAGCAGATTTTTAGTCCTGGTTTTACACTAGCATGTGTAATTCTGATACTTATGCAAGTAGTAACATCCACATATGTCTGCATTTTTCGTCATGTACAAAGGCCCTTATTCAGCAGATAACTGCAGATATGTGGATAACAAACACCGGTAGTCCCATCGACAAAGAACCTTCTATCTTTGTGCAAACTCACTGCATGCAGGCCTGCGATAACATCACAAAGTAATGCATCTAGTGATGTTATCTGGCTCGGACCTTCCGATGCATTGCCTCTAAATAAACCTTAGTGCTGCAGGGAAACAAATAGATCTCATGTTGTTCAGAGTTTTGTGCAATTCAATGAATATGTGATATGCTTTCACAGGAGTACACTTTATCCTACGAGGGGAAAAAAAAGCATCATTATTTGGTGGAAGGAACAAGTTTTGCAGAGAATAAGATCTTTATGCACTTGGAGAATCCAACCAACTTCAGCCTTCTGTCGGCCCAGCACCCTTCTGTCAAAGCAGACAACAACTAACCTGTTCTTACACGGCGGCAGATATTAAAAGTGCTCGCTACAGCTGGATAATCACCCCTCTCTTTTGTTGACTGCCAACCAAATCATTTGTAACCATGGAGAAAATGATGAATGTGATGATCTCAAGTATGTATGAAAGAGAGGGACAGCATGGGAGGGAGCATCTATTATCAATGGGATGTGCTACCTGGGGGCATGATTAGGCGTGACACCAGGGCTGGTTGGGTTCTCTGGAAACTCCTGGAATAGACATGATGAAAAGAAAGATGGGTGAGGGTGACTGAAATGAAAATAAAATACAATGTAAATGCTATCAGTTAAACTCCCAAGGGAACACGGTGATATCATTAAAGCACTGAAGGAAGGGGTTTCTTAATGAGCAGGGAAGGCTAAAGTCAGTGTCACCCAGAAGGATGTCTCCTGAACAATTAAAGCGCTTCATTAACAGATTGTCTGAGTGGAGATGTGACAGTGAACTAGTTGAAAAAACATAATTAAATGTGAGAAAAAAGAAGTACAGAGGATGGTTTATTGTAACGAGGTGAACACATGACATGAATGGAGCAGAGTGCAGAAGAGAAAACACTATAAAAGCTTGAGTGCATCCCACTAAATGAAAGCTTTCTTTCCTGCTGTTTTAGTATTTTTCTTAATAAAAAAAAGACTAAAAGAATCACCTGATTGATATTTTTGTTTAAAATCTATAAACCTCCACTTTTGTAAAAGACATTAAACATATTTTTTGATCTTTTCCTCTACAACAGCTAACAAACTCAATACTGACCCAAGCATGCAAGAGCACAGCCCTCATGCAGAAACAAAACCACAACTTTCAAACAGATTTGAAGACAGAATTGGCCACAACTTATTTTGCATGCTGTCTTTTTACCTCTAATAATGTATGACAGAGAGCACAGCTTTCATTTCCAGCATGAAGCCAAGGAATGCAAATTGGCAGATTGAATAAACTCAGGGACAAAAGACAATTTCTGCACTTAACAAAAATCTACTTAAATGCTTTTCATTATGACAGCACCAGAAAAGAAGAGATGTTGCAGGTAGGTATTTATCTGATTTCATTAGCTAAAATAAATAAACGACAGGTCCCTACCGTAACTAGGTAGTGTTTTTAGATGTTTTTATATAATCGTTTTTAAGGGGCTGTTTTAAAAATCCCATTATCTAGGAAACCTGTTGAGCTAGCTCCTTCAAATTCTTTTAGTGCAACTATCTCTGTGAAGGTCGACTCTCTGCAGTGTAGCTCAAGTTAACAGCAAGAAAGATCCTTTATAATATTTGGATGCCCAATCTCTGACTGCATATTTTGAGGCCTGTAAAAAACATTGTTTTGCAAGTAGGGGACAGATATTTTAGTTATGGCTTCTCTCATATACAGACAGAGCACATAAGATTATGAAGCACAGTCCAAATCAGATAAAGGGTTCCACACATATTAAAGCTTAAACATGGAAAAAACGCAATTTCACCAAAATTCATTGTAATATTTCCAAGACATGAACCAAAATCAGCCTCACATCTGGAAAACTGTAGTTTCTACCAGTCTCCGAAACTGCTGTCACAGATCAGGCATCCAGATATTTCAGGGACTTCAAGCGCCCATCACTCAAGTTTACCTGAGCTACACCCTGAGATTCCATATTGAAAGTATCTGATATTTGCCTTAAAAATATCGAAGAACCTAGCTCAGGTAGCTTTATAGATAATGGAATTCTAAATATAAAGAAAAAATTATGATACTAAAAAATGTACACTATTTATACTCTTAGCTCTATTTTCAGTGAAAGTTGAGTTTGAGAAAATGTGGATTTTTAAAAAAATATTTTGGCTACCATACTGCAAGCAGAAATATATCAGGTCAGCTAAAGTAGAAAGGTTGATACATTACATTTACTACTACTTTTGATTGTATATACTTTTCAGACAAGTTAATTTAACATGCAGTTCTCCTAAAGACTTAAACGATTTACTATATGGCCTGAAGAAGCTTCCTGGCTATCAAAGAGGTAAAACTTAAACCAGCCCTGAGGTGTGTACTACAAAGTGAGATCCATGGCTTAGGGAGCTATGTCGAGTTTTCTATGTCAAGTAGCTTTTTTTTTTACCTGCCTAAATCACCGTGGTAACATGGATAACAGCAGATTCCGAGTTTTCTCGGTTTAAAATATTTAGGAGGCTGGCTGAGGAGCGTGTTTTAAGTGAACTGTATCTGCTGGTAAAATATATTTCATATGTGCAACTTGTTTAGCTAACATCACAAATGAAAGTGTAAAGTTGCTGCAATGCAAACTGTGCATCCCTTTGTCGCTTGAATTTCCATGTTACGGAAAGAGAAATAACATTTTATAGATGATCCTAATCTGCTGCTAAATCTCGTTTACAATGCTGGAACTGCAGCTGCAACACACCAAGAATACCTGTTCAGTCAATAAAGTTAATTTCACTTTGATCTATTGACAAACTAAAGCACCGAAGTCTCCTTTATTAGGCGATGGGACAGAAACCTTTAATGTTTAAACGTGTCTAGTTTAAAGCTTCAGAGCGCTAATGTGCTGCGGTCACATTAGAAACAAACAGCCGCACTGTTTATTTCGGTGTTAAAATGTTTATTTTATTGCTTTGTGCGTTAAATCACCAGTTTAACGATTTTCTGCAGCATTAGTCTTTTGTCTTATTTGCGACAGTGTTGCATTTTACTGTTATATTTTTATGTTCTTTATAGATATTTACCACTATATTATCATCATCATCATCTATTGACATCTCTGACAGGAGTAGGCAGCACTCATAGGGATCATTTTGTGTGGACAAAGACTGGCTTGCCGTGTCAAACACCCCTTTTTAATTGAGGACACACAGAATGGTGCAGAATGCTCAGGTTAACAGAGAAAGCTGATAACCACTGACGTTTTAAGTTCTGTCAAGCCAGCAAACACAAAGAAAGCTGGACTTTGTTGAAATTATACCTCTACCTTTTTTAAACTCTTTCAGAGTGGCATTACGCACAATATGATCAATAAAATCTATTTATAGCTTGACAGAAGATATTTAGCAGTTGTCAAATGCACTGATATTTTCACAGCGAGTGTTGCGAAGTAGTAAAGTACATGCAGTTAAACTACATTATGCAATAATTTGTTGATTCAAGAATTTTGTTTAGATAAATATGAAAACCACCCACTATTTGCATGGGTGTGACTGTAGTGATTAAAATCTCTCTTTCTATATGTTATAAGCCTTGATTTAACATTATGTCCTGAACAACAGCTCATTGCTAATCCTAAAACGATGTGTGTATGTTATTAATCATTTCCTAACTTGCATAACAGGAGGAGTGGAGACGCCTCTGGATGCAGCGTGCTAAACCACAGGGTTTGATGAAAATGCTGTTATTTAGGGCATGACTGAAACGCCTCGCAGTACTACAGTTTTCATTGCTTTGTTTTTACCATGTTAATAAAATCTCTTTAGAATTTTGGTGGTAAAACCCGGATAACAATAACAACTCTGTAATAGTACAGAAGAGGGTGACGCTGAGAAGTGACTATATAGTGTGGAAATACTGAAAATTGAGTTGGTGTGTGGGATAAAATGAGATAACCTCTGACAATAAACCGAGTTTATGAGTCATGAATAAAATCCAATAGAAACCAGGTCAAACTCTTTACTTCTACTTCTCCATGCACTGAGATTTAAGCGCACTAAGTGGCAAATCACTTGGGGAAAAAAGCTTAAAAAGAAAACGGGCACAAAGTCAATTTGTTCTTTTGGAATACTTATGTGCATCCCAGATTTTTTGTCATTACAGGGAATAATTTATGCTGCTTCTCATCATGTAAAGAAAGTACTGTATGCGTCTAATACTACTCTAATTATGCATTCCCGCTGTGCAGTAAAAATATGTGCGTATGATTAATGATTGTGTTTTCTAGAAAAATATTTTGTTTCTGCAGGGCTAATTGAAACTAATGATGGCATAATGCCTTCGCTTTCTCTCTGGCGCTGTTCATTAAAAGCATTTCAAGTGTGAGCAGATATTTTGATGTTGCTGTGACCATTGATCCTGAGCTTATTTTGTACATCACATTCACTTCACTCAATCAAGCGTATTCTTAGGGACTAAAAAATTACCAGGTTGTCGCTCTGACAGCGCTGTGGCCGTTTCTTGCGAATGAAGTAACCCAAAAGCTTATCTTTAAACACCTAAAAAACATCAGAAAAGCATTATTCACAGATTCACTCATCCAATAGTTTGCTTTCTTGGGGAGTGAAGAGGATCAATACTGAGGCTGACAGCATCTATAAAGATGAAGCATCGTATCTTGCACAAAAAAAACTGCGTAAAAGCTTGAAGTCTTATAAGATGTTCAGGTTAAGAATACTTTTAGGTATATTTTGAGTAGAATTATTTCCAATTTAACATTTTAACCCTTACATACTGTTCACATCACATATGATATGTTCCTGATAAACAAACATTTTATGTCTTTTCCTAAAGAGACCAAAATACACCAAAATGAAAATATCTTTTATACTGTTCTACATTTGTGCTCCAGGTCAAATCTGACCAGAATCTCTGCAGTTTAACTACATTTATTACATTATCCATGTTTGTAGAATCGTAACCTTACATTTGCTTGCCTTGAACCAATTGTCGTTGTGACCTGGTGCTATATAAATAAACCTGGACTGAATTAAATTGAATCTACTGAGTTGGATCCACCAGCATGGGTCAAATATGGGAAAATGTTGTTTTAGAAACCTGTGAAATTGTACATTTCTTTGTGAGCACTGGTGACAGAGTTCAATGGGAATCTTGTCACTGTCATGAGAATTGTCTGTGTCAACCTATACTGGGAAACCCAGAGAGATGGGTACTTGCTGGTCTCTGAGGGAATCCTGAAGGTCTCTGAACAGTCACGGGGGAATTTCAAAGTAGTAAATAGTAAAACTGCACCGGAGTGACAATATATTGGAACAGCGGTCATACAGGGGTCAGAGTGTGCCCTAACACAGACATTAAATCTGTAAAAGAGTGGATGTGGTTAGCACTGTCCTGAGATTGTTTATGTGGACTGTTGGATTTTAAATAGATCTGTAGTTTGTTATAAACACTTATTATGAGACCATTCTTGACCCAGACCATACTGTGCAGGCAGCTAATATGAACAGCATGTAAAGGTTAAGTAGCAGACACTTTATGCTTTATGCTAAGCTCTCCAGACTCCACAAGAAAGCCATAAGTTCTCTACTACTGAATTAAAAAATGTAAAAAGAAACCCAGAATGAATTTAATATGATCTAAAAACAGAAGAATTCATTTAGTTATTGCTTAGAAATCTTTAACAAAGATCATGACTTTACCTCATATAGGTAGTCGAATATTTCTAGTATTGTAAGAACACTGGCTCCAATAAATAGCCCCATCTGGCCTCCAATGTCACCTACAGAGGGAGAGATTAACAGATACGGGTAATTAAACAATGGTGCGTGAAACCACTCCCCCTTGCTGTCACATTGAATTCTGTATCTCTTTGAGGAATCTGAGCGTAATTGTCAAAACCGTCCAACCAGCCCCAACTTCACAAACGCAGCTGCCCTTGCAAGAGCATCAGATTATGAAAACATGCTCAGCCTGTTTCACGAGTTCAAAGAGGGAACCTCAAAGCACCAGGGATGAACACAATATGCGAAATATGCGGCGGGGGGGGATGCCCGCCGAGGGTGCTGATTCTGAGGTCAGATTTATTTATTTATTTATTTTTCTCACAGCAAATATGAAACTGCAAGAATCTTACCGAGAAGTCCAGCAATTTCATAGGCCTTCTTCTGCTCAATCTTCTCATAATTCAGAGCTTCAAAGAAGATGTCCAACACCAGAATATTTTCTCTGGAGAGAGGACACACACGAGCACATCCATCAGATTTCCCCCAGGGCCATTTTCCCAACAGAACGAATGATAACTTACATCTCCTGCGTAACTATCATTCATTATTGTTACATTGAAGGTGAACGATGGAGACTCAAACCATGCTATACCACAGTACATCCATCCATCAACAGGAAAAGGAAAAAGAGGCCTTTATCTAAATAACTAGCTAATAATACTTACCCAATATATTGCTCAGTTTTGTTGAATTTCTTAGCCAGATATTTAGCAGATGCCTTACTGGGGATCTTAACCATGGACAGCTCCTTGCCATAGCGAGTCATGTTGCAGGGGGTCTGACAGACACAGTAATCGTTGTCTTTCTCTACCAAAAAGTCTGTGGATGATCAAAGTCATTTCAAAATATTGCGATCACTATGAAGAATCAAACAAACCTGTATCCAGAGGCCCTGCTAAAAATATCCCACACAACGCACAACAGAGCTACATTCGCTGCCATCGTTCACTTTCCATGAAAGCAAATAATGACTGAAGCCATAAAACAGAGGAAGGGGGGAAAAAACTCAGCAGGATTTATTTGATATCAGCGAAGCACAGACACATCACAAATCTTCCTAATGGGATTTTTAAACAATGATTTTTACTTTATTGCTTTTGTTTCAGCACAATCTGGAATTAAAGTAATTTGAAGTTAAGGCTCACACAAGTAGTATCTACAGGATACAACAAGCTTGTGGCACCGCTGTTAATGCAAATACCTCACACTAATATTTTACACTTAATCCAATAAAAAAAAGTGTGTGCGCTCACCTAAAGCTGGATCAGCACAATCTTTGTACTGCTCAGGTGTGCAAACGGCTGTGTTTCCTGTTTGAACCAACATAAAAGTGAAAATGATTACTTATTTATAAATGCAACACGAGGGCACAGAGATTTATGGTTTTTTTTTTTTTTATTGGTCAAGTAACTCTCAGTTCATACCCGGCATGTGAACCATCCTGCAGTTACAGTTCTCCAGAAGGTACCGTGTTTCACAGTCGATGCGACATGCAGTGATGCTGTACGTGGAGAAGTAATCAGAGTCTATGGGAGTAGACTTGCAATCTCCCCAAGGTGGTGGGAGGTACTGAAGCTGAAAGAGTGAGCAGCACATGTTTTGCCCTCAGTGTATCAGCACACAGGATCACATCAAATAGCATAATGCAAGCCCGGTGTAGCAGAAGTTCAAAAAGGGAGACAACAAGCTGACAAAACCCAACACAAATGTCTTAAAAATAAAAAAAAGAAAGAAAATACAGAAGCACTTGAATGAAAATGTGCACTCAGACAATACTGGCATAAAACGTCCAGTCGGAACAACATCATCGCTCATGTGTAGCAGCAAGCAGACATCATGCATAACGTTACTGATGCAGGTCTAGGCCCCGGTAGAAAGCAGAGTACCATGGGGATAGAGACAAGCTTACGAGAAATCTGTAAAATATGTAGATACAGACAGGACACCACAATCAATGGACAAATTTTACAACCTTGAGAACGGAACTGAAAACAATCAACGGTTTACTGGAGGATTCATTGAATTTAAGAGACAACATATGGAGCTTTTTTTTAAAGAAAAATTCTTATGTTTATACGTAGTATATAACGGTAGCTTAACCTAAATGAATAATCCAGTCAATGAAAGCTTTCTAAAGAGGTTTTACTGTTGATTAACAACCTATATTTTCTCATTGACGCCCATGAGTGTTTATTACACAACTACCCTGAATATCCCTATGAATTTAGCAATCAGGAGATGTAGTGTACACTCAGTTTGCGGTCTCATTAGTGGTAGAACTCTCATTATAAGGTGAGAGCAGGTCATTACATTTATGAATAACTCTGAGAATTCTAAATGAATCCATTAGGGAAGAATATTTAACAAGTGAATTTTAAGGACCCAATTCACACTTAACATTAGACCTCGCCATCCGTCTTGGAGCTGCAGCAGCGTGCCCCATTTTGTGTGAGATCTGCTTCGACGTTAAAGGGACTTCCTCTCTGGTGTGCTGCACAGCGTGGCCTCTAACCACCAACAAGACTTCCAGCCCCCCTTTTAAGTGTCTTGTTTTCTGCCTGCTACTTATTTTCATGACAAAAATAAGCCAATTATTTATGAAGGGCGGCGATGCTTGGGTAGTTGCGCATTCAGCCGCTAACTGCAGTGGGGAGCAAGCCAACAATCTCTGCCAAAGGCTTCTTCCTGGGAAATTTCTCAGAGAAATTACACCTCCATTGTCACATTAAGGTTCACTGTAATTCCCAATCATTTCCACCAGCTCTAACCAGGTGCTAACTCTGACAATGTAACTGTCATTTAGCCAATACAAAGTGACAGAGATAGAGTGCAATTCGCAAAAGAAGTGGATTTAAACTGGCAAACATGATTAAGCCTTTATTGAACTCCATTTCTAGCCCACAGACTCTCATAAGTGGAGATACACTGGAGATAAAACCCCAGTGCAATATAATCAAGACTATAAACTCATGCCAGAGTTCTCATGGGTAATAAAACCTAATGAATCACATTGTCTGGTCCCTGCAGATGAGATTAAGCAGAGGTCCAGTGGATCACCCCGATAACACATATAAGCAAAAACAAAATGCTTACAAAAGCAGATGTGGATGTGAAAGGGTAAAGCCAAACAACAGCTCTGATAAAGACACAGATTTGGATGAAGGGCTCAAAGAAATAAAACACCTTTCCAGCTCTTTGCTGGTGAGGACAGAGAGCAGAGATGGCAACAAGGACAGACTGCAGATGCTGTTACATATCGTTGCTTCAGCCACACAGAGGAGGGGGTGGGGGGTGGGGGGGTGGTGGGGGCACACATGGGTCCATTCCTTGGAGAGGGCGGGACCAGGAGATGAAAGTGTGGAAGTTAATGAGTATGTACAATACAGTATTTTGTGGCATGCAGCAAGCCCAGTCAGTCATACGCTACCCTCTGCTCTTGGGTGGAAACGAATGTTTGGAAGCCTGGGGCAACCCCGAAGCCCAGCTCGTGGAGGAAAGGAGGCTCTGACTGAGTGTGAAGCTGTACCTTTATGCCGGCCTCATAGGACGTCTCATCTAGGGGTAAGGGGTGAGGGAACACAGCCCACATCATTATCGAAATATAAGAGGAGAAAAAGTAAGGCAAGGGGACAGAAAATGACCCCTCCAGGCAAACATCCTGTTGTCAGAGTCCCAAGCAGGACTGGTAGGTTGTCATTCAGCCATTCTCTTCTTACTTTCACTCAGTCTTGAGCTACACTTCTAACTGTTGGTGGTGGAGTATCGATGTTTCTCTTTGCTCACAAGTCAAAGTCTCTTATTAAAAATTAAACTCCTCCGACAGAAGATTTACAAATGTAAAGCCTCGAAATCACGAGTGCTATTATTCTTATTGCACCGAGAGCAATGTCACTCGTTGGACACTGAGTGAAACGAATGCAGGCCAGAGTTTATAATGACAGTCTAATTAAGTCATCACATCGTTTAAGCCATAAACACGTCTTTCAGCTGTCAGTGGTGTGGGCGCTCATGTCATGATTGTAAATGGCAAACCATGCACTTTTGCCTCCTGGAGGAAACTCTGTGATGGTGAGTAACAGACCAGGTTTATTCTTTTTTTTGGGAAATGGCTGAATGATGATACACTCTGAGCACCAACAACATTTGCAGAGAGAAGGAGAGAAAAACGAGAGAAAGATACATTTCTATGCAAGTTCCCAAAAGTTACATTTGTCATCTCTTGTGGTGTCCATGTGTCTGTTTCACGAGACCAACCGTGCCTCAACCATCCCATGTTATTCTGCTAGCACGCTGAAGCTTGTGAGGTGAACGAGCCGATTCAATTTAGGAGCAAAATCATTTAAATTAGGCTTAATTAACTGCTAAAGAAACTAAGTTAAATCACTGCTCAGGCATCCGTTACATCATGACTTCACAAGAACTGATTATACGGTGGAAATTTTTAACGAGCCTGCGGCACAAATACACTTGATCTCAAAGGTAATCACTGCAAAAACCTAAAATCCTCTGTGGCACCGCCGCCATTTTCTTGGGACTTACACTGAGTGCTTCTCTGTTTGTCAGAGGATATTTCCTTATTCTGTCAGTGTTTCTGTTTGAAAATCAAAGACTTTTCTTTGTCTTTGTGAGCTACGCTAGTGTGCACAAAAGCAACAGAGTCTGAATTTGTTCTCCTGGCAGATCACATAAGCACCGTATTGTTTCATTAGATTTGGATGAAAAATCCATGTGAGCTCAGCGTTATGACCTTGCACACGGGCTTTTCAATCAATTCGGGCTTAACTATAGTTATTACTTTTCATCCTTCAGCAACGCCAGTGTTGTGGACTCGGTCAAAAAACCGGCCACGGGCCATTTTGCTTCTCTTTTTACCGAGTCATCAAATCATAGCACATATTAAAATATGTCTACAAAACAGCCGTGGGTCATCTTTCTCATCCAATAACGCACGTTTTTTCCATATTACTGGTGTTGGGAGAAAAAATAATGTAATGAGAAGTGCACCAGGCTCCTTTATATGGTCCAAACTGACATAAACAACATTATGACAGTTTTAGTAGATTTCCTTTAAGATATAGTCAGCTTTTAGCTAAATGCCGACCCCAACAGTTAGTCATAAGAAAACGTTAAGTCTCTCTTTAAAAACCGTAAAGTGTGGGTTTTTAAAAAAGAGTTAATCAGCGATAATGTCAGATGATTAAAGACTGCTGAAGTTGGCTGTGTGGATTAGTCCTCAATGTTTTTTGCTGGCTTCTGTTTGACTCTAGTGTCACTAGAGATGATTTTCAGGGCTGCAAATAAAAAGCTGTTGTCCTTTTTTTTTCTCCTGAGCTCCAACTAATGAAGACTCAATATAAAAAAGTAAACTAAACACCCTGAGCTGCTATATATTTTTTGCATGCTGTGCAGTCTGAAGCTTTTTTGGCTCTGATAAGCACAGTATGCTCGTATTCCTGCATGCAATCATTACTTGACCCTGCTCTATCAGTACTTCTTGGCGGCTATAACTAAGTTTTATTTACTCTAACCCAACTCATCGGCTGTCTATGTAACACATTAGACGCACATCTCAACACAAAGGTAATACTAAGATCTGGATCTGATTTTGCTCCGCGTGCTGTGACACAGAGGTGATGGACACTGGCTGGCAAGGGTTTTTGAGACGAACACAGGATGAAGCAGAGCAAAAGACGCTGGGGTCGGAGAGGAGACCGAACGTTAGGTACCAGTTGCTGCTGACATGACACAAAAGTTTGAAAACCAGGTGCCACACCAAATCCCAGTTGGTCAATGAAAGGCGGCTCGTCCTGGCTGTGGATCTGAACCTTGATGCCTGCTTCGTAGGAGGTCTCATCTGTGGATACAGCACGCCAGAAAATACAACAACATGTACGGTCATCGACGGAAACCAGTGCTGTTTAGCGATCCAGCAGTCACATTAATCCAGGGTTTCTACCCCTCCGCTTTCATCATATTAATGGAAACTAATATAAGAAATAAACTCTTGTGTCAGTGTGCCGGTTCAATATCAAACAGATTTAGAACCAGAATTAATTACATGCTATTTATTTTATGAATATATGGTCCCGTTATGTTGTGGCCCACCATAAATGAGAAACAATAAGTCAGTAAATGCAGTTTTATTGGGTCTGATGTCAGTTGTAGACCTGGAGAAACATATCAAGATGATAAGTGGTTAACCATGGTAGTGCATCACTTCTTTGTCTGCTTCAGTGTGGTGCAAAAAAATATATAGGCAAAGATTTATAGGTAAAGTGAGAGATGTACAATATTCCTCTGTGGAGCATCCATTTGTCACGGAGATGACAAAATACTGTGGCAGTTGTCAGGACTTCGGGGATAAACCAACAAGCTGATGAGATTTCAACATGGAAATCTGCGCAAATCAGATGTTACTGTAAAAATGCTTCACTGACCTGTCTCGCCCCAAACAGGCAAGTATTCATCCTGCTGAATATCCAACATGATCTCCAAGCCGTTCCCCGTGCCGCCCTTTAACGTGGTCAGCAAAGGGTTGCCATCTAATCCCGAGTTGAAAGTGTAGCATTTTCCATACCGTGTGTAAATCTGTAAGAAAAATAGGACACACACAGAGAAAAATAAGCACAAATAAAAAGTTCAATTCTTTTCACGGTGCAGCAGCACGAGCTATATTACATGCCAGTCTCATATTGTGCAGGACAGGTAATCATTCCAAAGACTTTGTGATTATCAGAGAAGGCAGCGCAGGTTTTAAACAGGCACCTGGCTCTGATTTGAGGAAGTAATGAGTGCTCCTCAGCAGCAGCTGAGTGATTTAGACTGAATTTACTATTTTGCCATCACTTAATGAGAAACATATGAGGGGGAAGCTCTCTGGACACACAAGCAGACATTTTTGTATTTTGCTTTATAAATTCTGCCAGGAAAGCTTAGCAGGATTTAATGTTTGATGTGCAATCACTATAGTAGATTTCCTTCTATGTTTAAATAATTTAATTTCAGGTTCTGTGCCCAGAGGTGATTTTTCCTTTTTCAATTTTATGGCTTTTACCTATAATTGAAACATTTCTATGTCATCTACCAAGCAAGTAAATATAAATCAGGCTCAGAAGGATCAAAATGTAGAATTAAAATCATAGATTTAAACAAACTATAAGCATTTCAAGATGTTCATCATCATGATGTTTGCAGCAATCTGCTGTTTGTATTCACATCAACAGCTACACATTAAAATGCGATAAGTTATGGCTAAACAAGAAAATCATAGTACGGAAGCCAAAAGGGGACAAAAAGTCTCATAAATAAATGAAAATGAGTGTCGCTGAAACTTTGGCAGCTGCAAATGTTCTTACTCTCAAAAACATTGCCAATTCAGAAGTATTAATTTAAATTTATGTTATCTAAGTTTCACTCTGTAATGTATAGTTTGCAATCTGTGCTTGTAAACTTTTGAATTACAATATTATTTTATGTAATGATGAATTGAAATCAATCTCAGGTAAAAGTGAAAGCTTACAGAACTTAAAGTCCTGTTTTAATGATAATAGCTGCCCTTATAGACTTCCTTTTCTCATCATCGTAACAAAAATGTGTGCTGCTAGCATGAGATTTTTGATGTGCAGGAAGGACTGAAGTTTGGATTAAATTCTACTGTGGTAAGGTCATAGAAAGAGGGCTGCTGGTTAAAACTCAGCCAGCATGGCAAAGCTGATCTCGAGAGATCAGATTCAGCGTTCCATGTCCAGACCCAGACAGACTCACATCCATCTCACACAGATAAGACAGAGCTTTGTTTCCCCCCTCCCTGATGGCTATATAATGAGGGAGTGCCTATACACATCATACAATTTATGACTGTATTAAAATATTCATATTTATGTTTAGATCAAATGAGAGCATCAATCATCCATGCCGCAGACCCAATATGAGTTGCTTAAGTGCAACAAACAGATAGCAAAATGTAAATCCTGCATATCTCAAGCCATCAATCTGGCCAAAAACAGAGAATTTGAAGATTTTAAAGCCTCTCCGTTGCTATGAAGCCACCATGGGTAGCTGACCTCTTGCAGCCTGTAAGACTTCCCACTGTAAATGTCTCCCATCAGCTGAAGCTGTCACAGTTACATGTTTGATTTTTATGACTTGGATCTAGCTGTTCAGACCCACCTCAGCAAAGGCAGGGAGCTAAATGTGACGCCTGTGACAGGTGAGGGTTTTATATCTGGATGTGTCTTGCCAGGTTTAAAATATTCTCAGTCCCTCTGCATGCAGGCTTACCACTGCAGAAACTTCCCCAGTCGCCCTTGCTAATATTTTCTAATGACGTTATAAGCTACCGGTTTGTGTGTGAATGTATTTACTCAAGATATCACCACGCGGAAGAGCGGGACTATGGTTTGCAAATGTCACCCACTTTCTCGCTTCAGTTATTCAGAGATGAATGGCTGTAATGGATCCACGTCTGGTGCGTTTAAATAGGAAACTCAGCTGCATATTTTGACGCATATCCTCCTCGTGCCCAACAGATGTTTAATTAGAGATGCTGAAATTTTAATTTGAACTGATTTATGACGTCTGAATTATTAATGCGCTCAATTTTCGCCCAAATGTTGTCATGTTATAAAGCAAAAAAGACATTAGAGGGACTCGGGAAATAGCCAGTCAACATAGCCAAATAAGAAACCTTTAAATACAGCAGACACTGAAGCCACATCATTGTGTTTGTGCTGTTGAGTGAATTTTAAGGAGACATGGTTTTTAATGAGGGAACAGCTGTCACGTCTTAAAGGCAAAAAGCAGGACAGGCTTGTTTTGCAGCTCTGAAACATCAACGACTTAAAAGACCCGGAGAGAATGCCTGTTGTAGCTTTGTCAAATGCTAACATGAATTATTAATACCCCCATATAAACAACACTCACATCCACACCTGGCAAACACCATCTCTCTTTCTGTACATACAGTGCTGAAGTTTTTGTAGGTGCAGGTTTCCCCACGAAACCTGCACTCCAGCAGCATGTCCTCGAGCTGGTGACCGAGCCGACCCATCATCTCCGTGGTGTTGGTGTGATAATTGGGGGGTGGGGTGTAGCTGCTGAAGTCCAGGAGAGTGAGCAGACCCTGCTTGTGATTGTCTTTAAGGATAGACAGGCTCCTCTTTATGACTGTGTGATTATGATACAGGAGGTCCAACCAGTAGCCACTGTGATACAGGTCATCTTTAGTCAGAGAGGATACCCGGAAAACGTTTTTGTTGCAGAAGGTAACGGCTGGGAAAGACATGTTGTGAGCCCAGACCATGTAGATCTTGGTGACAGCGGGGTAGGACATCAAATAGAGTATTCGATTCCAGGACCAGGTAAAGAGGAGACTCAGACAAAGGAAGAAGGCCATGATCCAGATGACCCGCTGCGGTTTCGACTTGTCCGGAGAGAAGACAAACTTCAAACCGTGGATCTTGGTCCTCATTATGAAATCCACCGTGATCTCGTTCCATGTTGCTTTCAGCGAGCTGGACTGTGGGTTCTGAAGAGGGGGCTTCTGGGCATCACTTGATTTGTTTGGCTCCATGGAAACAGATTCGGATGTGGAGTCTTAAACCTTAATTGTGAGTCAAAGAAAGTGCTTCGTTGTCAAGTGCAGTTTCTAGGCTGCCCCCACTAGACTACAATTTACACATTTTCTCCACATGCATCTTAATATGTGTGTAACAGCGCGTGTGTGTATAAAAAAATCCAGGTAGCAGCGACTGGAGTCCTAACATGCAGCTGTCCCACTGTTCAGGCTTGAAAACACTTTGCCATGAAGATATAAACAAAGGAACTGTGCTCCTTGGGGGATGTAAAATTGATTTACATAATGATTCCTTTATGAGAAAAACAGCTGAATCACTCCATTAACAAAAACATCCAGCGTAACTATCCACACTCCTTCGTCAATAGACAAATGGACGTGATAATTGCAGATGTAAGCGACGGCTTCACTCCCAGAGGTAATCACTTTGAAAATTCGGAGAGGCTTACCCCTGTTGCTCAGATCTTTCACTCCTCCATCCCCCCTCTCCAGTGCCAGACAATACTTGCAGATTTCAGTGGTTTCTCTTTTTGTGCAGTAGCTGCCCAGAACCCAACTCCTCCCTTTTTCCACAGATTGAAGAGATGCTTTTTAGTGTGTTGACTTGAAGCCTGCAGAAAGGAATATAAAGCTTGTTGCCCCCCTACTCACTCCCTCTACAGTCGACTGGAGAATGAGGTGGAGCCACTGGATGAAATTGTTTTCCTTCGGTGATGAAGTGCACCTCCAATGGTATAGAGAGGAGGGGGTTGGTGGTGGTATTGATCAAAGTACAAATAATTGTGCTAAAGAAATTCCTCTAGAAAAAAAAAAAAGATGAAGTCTGAAGTTCTTTAATTTTGAAGCATTGCTCGCTCATGGGTCGATATGTCTATATAATTGAATACTGAAAGGGAGGCAGCAAGTTGGAGAAAAACAGCTAAATTTCCTTTAAAATGTGTTAGAAAAATATGTCACAGTACGATCTGTGATCTTCTTTTGCTCCAGTTTCAAGTATAATTTCACAAATGCAAAGTAATGAGGGCTGACATCCTGCTGCATGCAGATGTGGCTCTGGCTGATATTAAAGGTGCTTTGCTCCATTTAGTGAGACTATCAGAGGACTGTGTTTGGGAGAAAGTGATACTTTCCCCCCATTATTTTAGCTGGAATAATTTCAATCTGTAATGCGAGTATTGGCTGGGTAACCTGATCAAAGCTGAGGTGACAAATGGTTGTAAAAAATTATTGCGCAAAGTTAAAAATAGAAAGAAAAAATGTTTTATTACTGCGCAGACTTAGACCAGAGGGTGTCATATGCAGGTTTAGATGGTGGGAGCTAATAAAAAATAATTGGAATGAACTTATTTTAATATAACACAAAGGAGTGTAAATGACTCTCGGGCTTCGTAGAGTCTGGGTTTCACTGACTAAATGCCAGAGAGGATCTACCAAATGATTCTGTTAACACAATAATAACATATTCATGTAAATTATTTCAGTATTTGAGGGCATAAACATGGCTTTTTGCAAAAAGGCTGAGATATTAGAAATGAAGAATTCAAGTAACCGATCGGCTATCGTTTAATAATTTAAGCTAATTCCAGAAATTACAGCTGCTGTCCCCCTGCAGTGGACTTAAAGTATCCCACAATACCTTGTAATAAGTTGCATGCAACCAGTGGTCATCGTTATCATCATTAATCTCCCTAGAGATAAATAAAGAGAAGGGCGACAAGAGCAACAGGAGCGCTCAGCAACGTAAACTACCATTCATGTTAATTTATTTGGGATAATGTGCATTTCACAGGCAGATTTATGTGCATAGAGATTAGTATTTGGGTAAATGTGAAGCATAGTTGGCTAGCCCTGCCCTGGCTGCTCAAGAATCCAGGAGGTCACCACATCTGAAGAGATGTATTTACACCAAACAGAAATTTCTCAGGTCTTTTAAGTTAATAAAACAAAAACAAAGCAAACTATTACACCTGACACTAAAAAGATCCCCTTGATGAGCAGTAAACTGAGATCTGAT